TCCACCTATTCTGTTTCTTTTAAACCCCCCCCAAAAGACTTTTGGCTGCTGCAGCAGCAGCAGCAGCCGCAGCAGCTGCTGCAGCTGCAGCAGCAGCTGCGGGACATGCGCAGATGCACTGTTGCTGCATGCATTGTGGGCGAAAAACTGGGCCGCACCTAAACCCTAAACCCTAAACCCTAAACCCTAAAGCCTAAGCCCTAATTCCTTCAGCTGGCGCTGAGGGTTCTACAGACTGGCGGAACCAGCAACAGCCATTCCTTGCTTCAAGGCCCTGCAGCAAACAAACCCTAAACCCTAAACCCTTAACCCTAAACCCTAAACCCTAAACCCTGGGCCTTCCGTGTGCGCGGCTGAAGACCCACGAAGACTGCTGCGGGTTTTGAGCTCAAGGCGGGAAACCCTAAACCCTAAACCCTAAACCCTAACTCACTCTTCTTTTTCTGTGATCTGCTTCAATGCAACGTCCACGCACTGCAGCTCGGCCTTGAGCTGCACGCAAACCCTAAACCCTAAACCCTAAACCCTAAACCCCCGAGTGGAAGCGTCGAGCGGGCCCGAGGGCCCCGGCCCCTCAGAAGGGTATAGGGTTTAGGGTTTAGGGTTTAGGGTTTACTCTTTCAATCAGCAGCTTGTGCTGCTGCACATTCTGCTTCGAAACCTCTTCTTGGGACTTTAGGGTTTTCAGTTCTTGCTGCAGCTTTATCCTCTCTTCCAGCTGCGCCATAGACGGCAGCCTGCCCACAAACCCTAAACCCTAAACCCTAAACCCTAAACCCTAAACCCTAAACCCTAGCCCCTGGACTCCCGGCGTCCCGCTTTCGGGCGGCAACCCTAAACCCGTGAGGTAACCCTGAGGAACTCACGTGGGGTTTAGGGTTTAGGGTTTAGGGTTTAGGCCTACTTGGCGCCAATTTGGGGCCCCTTCTCTTCTGCTGCTGCTGCTGCTGCTGCTGCTGCTGCTGTTGCATGCAGCGCCTCCAGCGACAGCTCTCCCACGGCTTTGTCGAAGCTCGCCTGAACACAAACCCTAAACCCTAAACCCTAAACCCTAGCCTCTGGGCTGCGGCAGCGCCAGGCACACCGCGCGGCCTAAACCGCAAACCCTAAACCCTAAACCCTAAACCCTAAACCCTAACCTGAATTCGTATCTGCAGCGCCGCCAAGAAGTCCTCAATTTCCTTTTTAAAAGGGCCGCCCTCAGCGAGCTGCAGCAGCCTGGGGAGCGCAGCAGCAGCAGCTGCAGCGGCGGGAGAAGCAGCAGCAGCAGCAGCAGCAGGAGCAGCAGCAGCAGACTGCAGCAGCGCCAAAACAGCAGCTAATTCGCGAGTCACCGCCAAAGCCAAACTCCGCGGCACCGAGCGGGGGGGGGGGAACTGCCAAAGAGTGGACCAGCCCACCAGCGCGTGCTGCAGCGGCGGAATGCTGCTGCTGCTGCTGCTGCTGCTGCTGGTGCTGGTGCTGCTGCTGCTGCTGGTGTCGCTACTGGTGGGTGCTGCTGCGGCGGCAGCGCCACTGGGCGCCACGCAGCAGGAGGGCAGCATCTTGTCTGGGCGTGGGCGACAGAGCAAGCAGAAGCTGCTGCTGCTGCTGCTGCGGCAGCAGCTGCAGCAGCAGCAGCGGGAGATGCAGCAGCAGCTGCTGCTGCCGCCGCAGCTGCTGCAGCTCACGTCAAGGGATTGTTACACTAATTGAACCGCGGTGTACTTATACTGCGTCAGCTGCTGCTGCTGCAGGAAATAAATGGCGCAGGAGGGTGTGTCTGCCGCAGCAGCAGCAGCAGCAGCAGCAGCTGCAGCACGGGGCCGCCGCGGAGCCCTAGGACGTAAAATAACAAGCAATTGATTAATTAGATATAAATACTTAATTTGTTGCAGCAGCTGCTGCTGCAGGGCCATGGGGCTGCTGCAGCAGCACTAGCGTACCGCAGCAGCAGCAGCAGCAGCTTTTTGCTGCTGCAGCAGCTGGCGCTGCCGACAACAGCCACCGCCGCAGCAGCAAGAAGAATAGTGCGCGCTTTAGAAGCAGCAGATGGCAAAAAATTAAGTAAACAAACAGCAGCAGAAGAATTTATTAGTTGATTATTTGTTTTTACGAGTTGCTGCTGGCAGCAGCAGCAGCCGCAGCAGCAACGCGTGGAAGAAGGCAGGAGCAGCAGCAGCAGCAGCCGTTTTTTCGTGTCGCAGCTGCACGCACCGGCGACAGCGTTTCCTGCAGCAGCAGCAGCAGCAGCAGCAATTATTTTGCAGCAGCAGCAGCAGCACCAGTAGCTGTTTCTTGCCGTTGCGCTTCTTCTTAACATTTTTTCAGTTAGTTAAATTAATTCTCAATTATCTTTTGCTGCTGCAGCAGCAAGGGGCCACGAGCGTCGACTCTAGCAGCAGCAGCGCCGCAAAGCAGCGGCAGCAAAAGCAGCAGCAGCAGCAGCAACAGCAGCATCCTTCTTTTGCACAGCTAGAGCAGCACGAGCGGCAGCAGGGAGCAGCAGCAGCACCGGCAGCAGCAGCAGCACGAGCAGCAATACTGCAGCAGCCACAAGTGCAGCAGCAGCAGCACACCGTGCCCTGTGCAGACTCAGTCTTTTGGGCAGCAGCAGCAGCTGCTGCAGGCCGGCTTGGTGCAGCAGAAGCAGAAGGAGCAGCAGCAGCAGCAGCAGCTGGCTGCGAGTTTTCCGCTGCTAGAACAGTCGCAGCAGCAGCAGCAGCAGCAGCGGCTGCAGCTGCTCGCTGCAACGTACCACGCATGGCTCCTCTCCAAATGCTGCTGCAGCGGCAACAGCAGCAGCAGCAGCAGCAGCACCAGCAGCAGCAGCTGAACTTGATGCTGTAGAGGCTATGCAGCAGCCAGCTCTTGTTGATGGGCTCGCTGCAGCCAAAGCAGCAGCAGCAGCAGCACTGGCCCCAGCAGCAGCAGCGCCAGCAGCAGCAGCACCAGCTGTAGCGGCTTCAGACGCAGCTAATGCAGCAGAAGCAGCAGCAGGAGCAACACTATCAGCAGCGCCAGGAATAGCAGCTCCCGCAGCAGCAGCAGCAGCAGCAACTCCCGCTGCAGCAGCAGCAGCGCCTGCAACGGTAACAGCAGCACCAGCAGCAGCAGCTGCACCGGCGAGGATGCCAGCCGCCGCTGCAACATTTGCAGCAGCGGCACCGGCAAAGGAAACGTCAGCTGCTGCAGCAGCAGCAGCTGCAGCAGCAGCAGCGAGCGGAGCAGCAGCTGCTGCTTCTCCTCACTCAACGTCTGTGTCTCCCTTTGCAGCAGCAGCAGCAGCAGCAGAAGCAGCTGCTGCTTCTGCTGCGGCTTCCCCGTCGAGCAGCTTCGAGAGGGAGCCCGCAAACAACGCCCACAGCAGCAGCAGCAGCAGCAACAGCAGCAGCAGCAGCAGCAGGGGCAGCAGCGCAGCAGTAGCAGCAGCAAGAAGAGCAGCACCCGGGGTCCGCTACAGCAGCAGCAGCGGCGCCTGGTGCTGCTGCTGGCTTGATGCAGCAAACAGACACAAGTACAAATACTTCAGGGTTAGGGATTTCGGGGACGAACAGGTAAACCCTAAGCCCTAAACCCTAAACCCTAAACCCTAAACCCTAAACTCTAAGGCCTGACGCCTAGGTAAACCCTAGACCCTGGGCAGATCGTCAACCTTGGGTAAACCCTAAACCCTAGCTATGTGCTAGCCCTAGGTAAACCCTAAACCCTCGGCAAATCCTAAACCCTAGATGGGAGCTAAACCCTAGATAAACCCTAAACCCTAGGTAAACCCTAAACCCTAGATAAACCCTAACACCTAGATAAACCTAAACCCTAAACCCCCGACTGTGGCTAAATCTGTCCTAGGGCTCAGCAGACGCAAACTAGATCACCTCCATGGCTGCCCCGTATTCAATTTAGGATTTAGGGTTTAGGGTTTAGGGTTTAGGGTTTAGGGTTTAGGGTTTAGGGTCTAGGGTTTGGCGTTAATGTTTTTAGGCGCGGCTGCTCGCGGAGAAGTACTGGAGTCTCAAAGTAGCGGGAGGAGATGCGGAGCAGCAGCAGCAGCAGCAGCTGCAGCAGCAGCAGCAGCAGCAGCAGCAGCAGCATGGTGTTGAGTCCCCGGCGTCTGCTGACTCTGTGTCTGTCTCTGGCTGCGGCGGCGCAGCGGCCTCAGCCGCAGCAGCAGAAGCAGCAGCTGCTGCTGCACCATCGCCAGCAGCAGCAGCAGCAGCAGCAGCAGCAGAAGAGCTGCCAGAAGGTGTTTACTCGCGAGGGTCTGGGCTAAATGCTTCTTGGATTTGTCGCTGGTCTTCGGGGGGCCGCAAATACAGCCGCAGCTTTGCTGCTTCCAAGTAAACCCTAAACCCTAAACCCTAAACCCTAAACCCTAAACCCTAACGGCCCGCCGCTACGGGCCCGCACAAGCGCTGGGCCGCGAGCAGCTTCACCCTTAAAGCTGCTTCGCCGTCGATGGATCAGAGCTAGGGTTTGAGACTAGGGTTTAGGGTTTAGGGTTTAGGGTTTAGGGTTTAGGGTTTAGGGTTTAGGGTTTGGGGGTTTGTTCAGGTACGGCCCTGCAATGGCCCGAGAGCTGGCGCTGAGGTTCCGGCAGCAGCTAAAAGACGCAGAGGCAGCAGAAGGCAGCACCAGCAGCAGCAGCAGCAGCAGCAGCGCGTCTGCTGCAGCAGCAGCTGCAGCAGCAGCAACGCCGGACACCGAAGTGCTGTTCACCACAGACCCCGACAACCCCGACTCCAGCAGCAGCAGCAGCAGCAGCAGCAGCAGCAGCAGCAGCAGCAGCTGCGGCTTCCGGTTCGACGCAGAAGGGGTGCGCTGGATCTGCTGGTGGAGGTCGGGGGCAGCAGCAGCAGCAGCAGCATTTGTTGTGGGGCGGTACCCTTTTGCTGTTGCGAAGAAAAAAGCTGCTGCTGTTTTTCAGTCTAGGGTTTTGGAGCTGCAGCTAGCTAGCGGCTGCAGCGGAAGAGTGCAGACGAAGAAG